CTCTTGGGACACGAAGTACCTTCAACAGCCCTATCCACCGCATCTTCCAGTCCTTCTTCACTTTTCTTTCTTTTGGCACTTGTCAAAGTCGCAGCTTCATTCTCTTCCTTCACTTTGATCTTCTTTGTCGGCTTGGTCTTTGCTTTTGCTGTTGCTTTTGCCTTCGGCTTCTTCTCGGGCTCTTTCGCCTGTTGGAGTAGTTTTGCAAGTTCACGGTCTGTTTGTTTTACGATGTTCTTTGGGATTGGCTTGGTGTAATCCCAGGTTTCCATACGTCTTAGAGCTTCTTGAACAGTTTGATCTGGATGATCACCACGGCAATACAACCAATAGTTTTGAAGTCCCACAGCATCCAAGTCGGCCAAAGCAGCTGCCTCTGATGCACTTCTTGTCAAGCTGTCTGGCTTGTTCTTCTTTGGTGAGCTGCTTCTGCTGCTTGTGTCTGAGGGTGACGATGTGGATGAACTTGTGCTCTCAGAGCTTGACGATGAATCATCTTCTTTTCCTCCATCGCCTTCCTCCATGTCCTGGTCCACATCTTTCTGCTCTTCCATCTTCTTGCCATCCTTCTGGGGTGACCCATCTTCAAGGTCGTCTTCTGCATCCTCCTCATCTTCTCCGTCTTCCTTCTTCTCTTCGTGGTGGTCTTTCTCCTCTTCTTCGTCTTCCAGCTCATCATCGCTATCATCTTTGTTTTCCTCCACCTGGTCCTTCTTGGCTGCTGTCTCCTCGTCTTCTTCATCTTCACTCTCTTCATCCTCCTCCGCTTCACTTTTCTGGTTCACATCTTTCTGCTCTTCCATCTTCTTGCCATCCTTCTGGGGTGACCCATCTTCAAGGTCGTCTTCTGCATCCTCCTCATCTTCTCCGTCTTCCTTCTTCTCTTCGGGGTGGTCTTTCTCCTCTTCTTCGTCTTCGAACTCATCATCACTCTCATCTTGGCTTTCCTCCATCTGGTCCTTCTTCGGTGCTGTCTCTTCGTCTTCATCTTCACTCTCTTCGTCCTCCTCATCTTTCTGCTCTTCCATCTTCTTGGCATCCTTCTGGGGTGACCCATCTTCATGGTCGTCTTCCGCGTCCTCATCATCTTCTCCGTCGTCCTTCTCCTCTTCGTGTTGGTCTTTCTCCTCTTTTTCGTCTTCCAGCTCCTCATCGCTCTCATCTTGGCTTTCCTCCACCTGGCCCTTCTTCGGTGCTGTCTCTTCGTCTTCATCTTCACTCTCTTCGTCCTCCTCTGCTTCACTTTTCTGGTTCACATCTTTCCGCTCTTCCATTTTCTTGCCATCCTTCTCAAGGTCGTCTTCTGCATCCTCCTCATCTTCTCCGTCTTCCTTCTTCTCTTCGTGGTGGTCTTTCTCCTCTTCTTCGTCTTCCAGCTCATCATCGCTATCATCTTTGTTTTCCTCCACCTGGTCCTTCTTGGCTGCTGTCTCCTCGTCTTCTTCATCTTCACTCTCTTCATCCTCCTCCGCTTCACTTTTCTGGTTCACATCTTTCTGCTCTTCCATCTTCTTGCCATCCTTCTGGGGTGACCCATCTTCAAGGTCGTCTTCTGCATCCTCCTCATCTTCTCCGTCTTCCTTCTCTTCGGGGTGGTCTTTCTCCTCTTCTTCGTCTTCGAACTCATCATCACTCTCATCTTTGCTTTCCTCCATCTGGTCCTTCTTGGGTGCTGTCTCTTCGTCTTCATCTTCACTCTCTTCGTCCTCCTCCGCTTCACCTTTGTCCTCTGCAGTTTCTGCGTTTCTCTCATCTGTCTCAGCTTCACTCGGTTCTTCTTCTGTCATCTTCTCTTCCTTCTTCAGCGTTTCTCTGCTTTTTTCGTTGTCACAATCCTCCTCACTTGAAGTCTGATCCTCCTGTCCTTTTTCCTCTTGCCTTGCTTCCTCCTCACAGGAAGAAGGGCTTGGAAAATGTGGTGGAAAACAAAACATTTACAATTCCGGTCCCTTTGTACTATCATACGATGATTTGACATTACACAGCTGTGACTAGCCCACAAATAAGATCTTGGGATTTTTGAAGTCCACGGGCCCCGCCTTCATGGGTTTATCTTGTTTGTTTTCATCCATTTGTTCTTCCACAGCCTGACCCCACAAGATGATTGGATCGCTAAACGCTGGTTTCCCATCATGTTGGATTAAAATAACAAACCATCCAGGTTGAATTGAAGTTGAACACATTGCAGTAAGACATACGAAAAATGAGGTTGAATGAAGGAAATCGTCAAGAACATTCTTTGATATAAGGGTTCCTATATTTGGAGGCATGTTGCTTCCCTGGTGAATGACAAATTAAGTTGAGGTGCCTCATATGCAACATGTGGTTTGATACCTTTTTTTTGTGGGCACCAATGCAAACCATATATATATAATGGAAAACATAGTTTCCACCTGCCCCATGTACAAGTCACACCTCATCATCCGTCATCTTCTCAGATTCAGAAGATTCATCACCAGGGCAGATGGGAATATTTGCATCCACAGCGCTGGTGCCGCATTGGTTCCTCATGCAGGCTATTTGAGACTTTGACCACCACATAATATGGAAACCTTTGTAACGTTCCATCCCCCAAACAAATAAAGAAGTATACAGGATAGGCCAAGAGACATATCTTCTAAGTCCAACGGTGGGATTTCACTTTCATCGATCATTTGGGTTTCCATCTGATCCATCGATGACCTAAGATCTGGGGGCAATTTTTAATTCAGAATGAGGTAAACAAATAAACCACAATCAACCACTACTTCCTTGTGTTAACAAAATTGCCAAGTAACCCGTGGGACTTTCTGGATGTGGGGGAGAGAAAGGCAAACCCCCTTCTCCCACTCTTGCTGTGCTTGAGAAGTACATCGTGAACTAAATAAGCCTCAGGCATACAACAAGACTAAAGTCAGACTAGCCATCGAATCTTGAACTCCGTATGTTGTTAATTTTGATTTCTTACTTACATACTCAAAAAAGGTCTACGTCAATAACAACCATATGATGTGGCCTGCTTTATCATCCAGTCCTCCTTGGCATCGGAATTCAAATGGCTTCCTCAGATCCACTTGGTTGCCCACCACATGGTTAATGCTTCAAAATAGATCATACAATACTTGATGCCATAAATTTATATAAACTGCAAGTTTCATCATTGTTCAAACCCAAAATAGTGATCGAGAATCCCATTCCTTTCTTCTTCATCAACTTCTTCACAATTTGCCTGATTTTATTCTCACGGGGAACCTTATCTAGACCTGCAGCCTTGTAGGCACTCCTGAGCCAGTTGTTTCCGCTGCTCCTCAAATCACCACCGGGTACAAGATCATCATCAGATATCATATCCGGTGGAATACGCTTCTCCATCTCATCGAAGAGCTTCCTGGGCTAGGAATTACCTGAGACCCATCCATGTCCCAAAAAAGTTGGATGAAGTCGTCCACACAATGATCACAGTGCTAGTTCACAAGATGGATCAATCATTTTTGAGTGGGGAATCCTATTCTAAGTCTATCCCTTGTGAAGAGCCCACGAATGCCAAGACACTTTCCATCTGGACACAGTTTGTAAGGCATGGCTTAGTCAAATCACGGGCGAAAGTATTCTTGCAATGTTATGATTTCACTATTGTAATTTGTATTTACATAGTCATTTTTGATGATCAATATATCTTAATTATGTTCTATCTTGACACCATCCCTTATCACCACAGTGCTCATGCCTGAACGCCGGCACACATGTCCCCTGCATCTAGCCGGCGAGGCTGCAGTGGAAGCGCAGTGTCTGGCACTGGCATCTGGGAAGTAGGCGATACAGCAGGCATGTGCCATATTTCATATGTGAAAGATATAAAAATATAAGTACCCTCCATTGGTGACCCTTGCTAACAGGTGCCAAATGGTAGGCACTTAGAGGCCCCTGGTATATATATATATACAGTTTTAATATATTATGTATTAATACTGTATATATTTATATTATGCATTTCGGGGTGAAGTTGGGAGTAATTACTTGTATTTTACACTCACACACTTGAGCAATCCTTTCACAATACTACATAAAATCCCTTAATCCCCCTTAGAGAAACACTGGTTTAGCAATAGAGCTAATGATTGTTGGGTCCCCAACAAAGCGGCATTTCAGCTTTTTGTTAAACGATTGGAGGATAAGATGATAATTAATCCCACCCCCCTAAAGTTATAAACACTCACCAGAAACCATGGTTTCGTAAGGGACGTACACATATTTGAGACCCTTTGCGGGGTGTTCAATATAATGGGATGGGATTCCCATGATTTCTTATGAACCCACCATGCTGGTTATATATATATACACGATATACATACAGTCCGTTATATTCTCATTACATCCCACAAAAAATCCATTAAACTTACTAAATCTCATTATATCCCCATGAAATCCCACTAAAAAATGATGAAACTTAGCAAATCCCATTAGATCCTGTGATGTCCCCATGCTATCCCATGAACATCCCATGAACATCCCATGAAAATCCTATGAACATCCGACCGCCGGCACTCGCTTGTAGGCATTTGGGCCTTGCTCTTCCAACAGCTCCGCCTTGGTCTTTCCAACTTGCGCGGCTTGGTCCTGGAAGGTCCATTTCTTCTGGAAATCGATCGGTTTAAGGGAAAATTAAATGGGAAAATCCCATATTTAATGGGCAAATCTATGGTTTCCGGTTAAGATTTTCCCTTAAACCAATCCAATTGACGAAACCGATGTGGAAAACACTTGGAGACACTATATGATGGAAAAGGTGGCCAAAAACGCAATGGAGAAGCGATTGAAGTTCAGCGGAAGTTGGTGAATCCGATTAATTGGTCACAGTCCCACCTTGCCATCAGCTGGCGTGATCTCCTTGGCAAGCTACTGATCACGTTGGAGATGAGCTCACCATAGGGAGCTAACAGAAACAGGGGAATAGCAGTAGCAACCACAACTTTCCTGTCCAAGACCGCAAAGATCCGCCAAGGAAATGGTGGTGTCATGATGTTTCGGCTCAACTGCATCTTGGTAGCAGCCCGATCCAGGTCGAGGTGGCTGATTGAAGGCAGCATCTCAGGAAACGATGTTTTTCCAGCAACAAATATAGGGGTTTCCGGCAAATTTTCCCTTCAACATATATACTGTATGTATATATGGTGATCGATATAAAGGTCCTTGTAAGGAGTTTTAATTGCGAAAGCCGTGCATGTTATGTTGGAAACCCTCGCGAAAGTTTTTTTTCGAGTTCGCGAAAGTAAAATTTTATTTTGCGAAAGTTTCGCGAAAGTTGGGTATTATAATCATTATATATGTAAAGGGCTGCCAGAGAATGCGAGTAGCAGTAGGAGTAGCCAAGTTTCCAAAAGTGAGGCTTTGCGAGAGCCAAACACCAAGGCCCCTGGTCTTTGCTTTTCCTTCAGTGCACACCCTGCTGATGGCCGGGGTCTGTGAATAGGGATATGTTCGCGAAAGTTCCGCGAAAGTTATGCGAAAGAGCGGGCGAAAGTCAAAGTGCATGTTGAAGGGGGTGGGCCAGTAAACTTTGCAAAAAAAAATCTGTCCTGAGAAGGGATTCCGTGATGCTAGCTGCATGTTTAAAAGGCTACCAAGAAGTGATCCGTGATTCTCTGGCGTAATTTGGCAGGTGGTGAACAAATCTTCATAATAGGTTTTCTTGGCCAACATGGGCCCCGCGAAAGATAAACATGGAGTTCGCGAAAGTTTCGCGAAAGTAAAATTTTTATTCGCGAAGAATGGCCGTTCCGGGATAAAGGAATTTTCATCAACAACCATATATATATATAAGAGTATGAATATGTAGTAGGTATTTGTTTGAAGATAGGGTAGCACTCAACCCCACACTTTATCATATGTTTTGTCCTAGTAAAAGTGCCATAAGTTGAGATATTTGCCATTTCAAGACAATGCCAACTTGAACACACCTATAAAGAGATAGTTAGAGACACTGTAACACATGCAGCATGTGTTCAAGCAACAAAACAACATATCAATATCATAAATCCATCATGAATCATTTCGTTGTATGGAGGTTTGCCTGAGATGGGGGTACCCCCAAATCATCCATTTGATTTAATAGGATTTTCCATTACCATCCAGCCATTGGGTTCCCCCCATGGGATTTCCTTGGTCATTTGTTCCGTTTTTTTTTTCCCATCTGAAGGCGCCATTCATGGAAATCCCCATATCAGTATTCACCATATTGACCATTCCACTATGAATCGCTATTGTCGTAGTTGTGCTAATATTGTTCACCATATTTATTTCCACTATGAATCACTCTCACCATATTTCTGGAATCCCATGGCGGAATCCCATATGTCATATGGATTCATATTAGGCGCCATATATCATGTTTTTCATAGAATTGGATGATGGGAAAATTTACAGGAAAGCCCAACCAATTTGATGGTAAAAACCATGGTTTCCTGTAAATTTTCCCTTAAACCAAGCCAGTGAATGTTTTAAATCGTTGCAAGCGTTCCGCGATTTCCAGGCAAAGATGGCAACGTGGATTGGTACTTCGACTGCGTCTGCCAAGTGCTGGCCATGATCGATCGACTCTTCGAGGTCATGGTGCTCTTCAAGTCCGGGAAGTCCCATCAGAGCGTCGCTGGGATTCGCTAAAACATGGGGATTTTAAAGGGAACATCATCTAGAAAAATGGTTGATATAGATATGAATTCATGAATCCATTATAGAATATATCCATATATATATATAATTATATATATATATATACGCATTATCATCATGGGATACAATCATTACATGATTATTGATAACTATGGCATGTTTTGTTGTTTTGCTGTTATATTATCCCCAAATCCAGCGGTTGAGCAGCTGATTTGTGCATCTAGAAACTGCTGCGGGCTGCTCCCCAAGTAATATGAAGTCAATAAACTTACCCTGTTTCCGATATGGGGACGAGTCCAACAACACCTATAGCCTCATACCATACTTTTTGGGGATGAACATCAATATCCTGGATATCCAAGCTTTTATTGTCTTCACCAGGGTGCCATGATTTCGTAGGTCGTAGGTGACCTTGGGGTTTAAACAAAACCACGCGGCGTTTGGTTGAGGACGGGACGGCTTACATCATTTGCCGTGGATTCTGCAGATGTGAATTTGAAGCCATGCAGGGCGCAGAAATCCTACGGAAGTCCATCATGGTATCAAGCTGCTTGTCACGAGCAGCACGCTGCTGATTCAATCTATCACCCATAGGATCCATGTATGGTATATATGCTAGCATTTGGGGTATATTGATGGTAAAATATGGTAAATGTTACCATATATAGCATACATGGATCCTATGGGTCAGGCTACTTATTAATGGTGTAATCATAGCTTGCAGCGCAATGCTCTACCATGGTCTTACAATAGCCAATGCGGTTGGTCAAGCGGCTCTATTCTCTAATCCCAAATCTCTATCTCTACTTCTTGTACCAGGTCCATACGTCTCAAGCTTCCACACTCTCCCAAACTCTTACAGTTGATTACAGTTGATCTTTTGGTGGGTCTAGCTGATGTCCTTGAAGATCCTCGGTTGCATACCATGCGTTTTGCATCTGGGGCCGCAGCCAAGGATATGAGCTAGAGGTCGCTGCACTGGGCATGTCCCCCATGTTTCGCAAGATCACTGCCACACGGGAAACTTGACGTCCCAGCTGCTTGCGGTAGTGTTGCGGTGTTGCTGCTGGTCGGTGGGTGTCGCTTTGCTGTTTTTTTTTTGTGTGTTTTTGTTGGTTGCAGTTGTTTTGAATGATTTTGAATGGTTGTTCTTCATTGTTGGTGGTGATAGGCCGCAAGCTTCAAATTGTTTGCGTTGTTGCTTGGCATGGCAGTATTCATTTCATGTCATGCCGCCCACCGAAATTCAGGATCTTCGGGCCCGAACTCGGGAGGTGTTTTCCCTGGTGGATGATGCAATTGCCAGATACAAGGACTGAGATTTGAAGGTTGGAGCAACTCTGCTCTACCTGTTATATGTTAGTATCTTTTAATATCTTTGAATGATGGGTTCTCATAATAGAACATACTTAGACCAAATGCCAAATGCCCCTTAAAAAATGCAAACATCACAAACAATGTGTATGATAACAAATTTGTCTAGCTACTTGGAGGGTCTCAATATGCTGGCTACTTATGGCCTTTTTGCATTGTCCATCTCTGAGACATTCTGAGACGATTGAAGGAGCCTGTCGTGTTCCTTCCTGGGATGATTAAACCAATGATCAAACCAGAAGATTCACAAGACACTATATTTAAATCTATACAATATAAAATGATCCGGGAATCCCTACCCAGCCCCCCATTTTTCCATCCCTGCCATGAGTCGCTGATGCGCCAGGACCCTGGCAGCTTCAACTACGCGTCCACCGTCAAAGAGTGGCGTTGCGCACGCTCGGTGCCTGCCCTGCGACGAGAAGTTCGAAGTAATATGGGCACCTTGATGCCCTTGGCAACTGGGCACTGGAGCCGGGTGGTTTTTTCAAACGGATTTGGATCTGGGTAAATTATAATGACCTCACTACGACCTCACTGGAAATCATGGTTAGTAAGGGAAATCATCCCCAAATGACCTTAATTCAAGTTAGTGAAATATTATAATTTACCCAGATTTGGATGGTGATTTTTTCATTTCCCATGACGGATCCATGGTGCTGGTATATATGCTAACATAAAGGGGGTATATTGATGGTAAAATATGGTAAATGTTACCATTTGTAGCATACATGGATCCTATGGGTTTTGACATCCAGTATTTGGGGGCTGTTAAGGGAATTTGTTTAATTTTTTGGGGGGTATCTTAAGCAACTGCAGGACATGGCTGCAGTTTCGGATCTGATATCATACCCTGCAGATATTGTATATTCCATAGGATCCATGTATGCTATATATGGCAACATTTACCATCCATATACCCCAAATGTTAGCATATATACCATACATGGATCCTATGGGTATTTGTTTTAGATGGCCGAGAAATCCTCGTTGTCACGTTTGATTTGTGCAGGCTGGGTCCAAGACACTGAGAATCCAAAAAAAATCACAACTTTAGACGCTTCCCAATATCGATGAAACAAACATGACCCCCTGGTTATGACTAACATCGCCATGGTATAGATGGCCCATAGATGGTTTACCTACTAAAAATTGGTGGATCTTTCCATGGCGAACTGTGACGGTTCATGCAGGACATTTTCCAAGCACGGGCGTTGCCAAGTTTGAGCCCGAAAGCTTTGAGTTTCTGGGTCTATATTTTCTACTTAGTAGACAACAACATCAAGAATGGCCTTCATAAACATACATATTTTCATATATTTTCCAGGCACTCTTTAGGGTTGGAGTAGAACCTGAGTTGGTTCCAGATGTTACCCTTTGGTAAATTAACTTGTTGACCCTGAAAATCACCCATTTTTAGTGGTTTCATTAATCTTCCAACCCCAACAACTACCAGGGTCGAACTGTTAATTTACAGGGTATCCCAGCCGCCGATGTTTTCAAAAACTTCATCGTGCCGCCGCGCAGAGGTAGCAAGCAGAGTTGCTGCGAAGCAGCTGGAGATGACGATCCAAGAGATGGATGTCCTAAGTGAAAGCTTCAGTGTCTTGGTATGTTTTGGTGAGGCCCAAATTGATACCCTTAGAGGCACTCTATAGTTACTTTTTGCAGTTTTAGATACATATATGACAGCTTGTCTGGATCTATATTCATGAATTTGTGTCTGTATATAATGTACTTAGCAGTTTGTTATGGAAAAAAATGGCCCATAGAAATAGATGATATAAATATACAAACTATACAATTGATGATGGTTTACTGAACTTAGAACATATATGATGTTCCACCGTTACCTTAAATAACCAGAGGGTAAATTTGATTCCAATATAGGTTTGTCAAGCATGGAATGAATGTACCCTCAACAGGCCATTTTGATAGGGCAACTTATGATGAACCAGTGGAATTGGGGATATTAAGGGGCACCTAATTGTTGAGACAATCCCATTATGTTGCCATTTGAATGAGCACATGAGGCAACCAACCATCAAATCGGGCTAACCTGTGTGGCGGAGACTATGTATGTGTTGTTTTTCTTTCTTAGGGTCTCAGGGACTACGTCCAGAAAGTTTTCCCCAGCTGCATGCATCATATCATATCATACTAATTCATACTAATTAATTCATATTGATTCATACTAATTCTACCCGGGGGTAATTTAATATATTGATTCTGTAGAGATGGAAAGTCCATGGATTCCGCTTCACAGAGGATTTATAAAATTGATTAAAATGGTGAATTCTTTGTATCGATGTTAGTTTGAAGGGTAAGCCACCATTTTTGATGATCACAATCCCAATGTTTGATGATCAGAACAATTCTCGGTGAAGCGTTGAATTTCATGCAAGGCCCATGTGTAAGTTCAATCCACACGTGTGTTGTGTTTTAATCTCAAGTTTTGACACTTAACCTCATTTCACTTATATACCGTAGGGGTGCCGTTTTTTTTTATAGTTATTAATCAGTTAATCAAATTTAATCCCAATGTTCGATGTCTTCAAATGCACCATTTTTTCTGGCCCTTAGATGCCACGGATGAAGCGTCTCAGGTGAAGCCCAGAGCGTGGAAGCTCTGCGGAAATTGCTGCAGGCGAAGTGTCAAGAGACCAAGGAGAAACTGTGCCTCGGAGTGGAGATGTTTTTGTTGGAGTTCACCATGAAGAAATGGGGGTTAAGACCCCACGCTACCACGTTAACAACAACAAGAAGAAAGTTCCTCTCAGGTCGGTAGCCTCTAGCCCCTAAGTGCTGCATATACCATGCAATATTAAGTTCTCTAGCTTCCAAATGTTGCAAATACCACACAAAATGAGAAGAACATGGTGAACACTTTACGTAATTTGGCTAGTTTTAGCTCCAAAATCAAGCAAATACCCTTCAAAATGAAGTGTTTAATATGCTAAAAGCTGTGTACAAATATAAGGCAACCAGGAATCCGAAAAGAAATCCCCAAACTGACCCGAAAAAACATCCCCCACAATTCTGCACTCATACATACCGAGTTTTCATCACCCCTGGCGGCTAGCGCCTCCAGTTTCCAGGCAAGAACGAGCTGCAGAGTTGCAACACATTGTCACAGCAGCGCAAGAGGCATCCACAGCAGCTACGGAGATTGAGGGAGAAGAGTTTAATCCAGGCCTGGACAAGGGTGGCTCATTTGCCTTGTTGGCCTTTGGTTATTTAGCAGTTTGCTATTGAAAATGGACTGCTTATAGATGATTCAATGATTTATGATTAATCCCTCCCCCTAATACTAAACGCCCCCCCCAAATAATAAACACCTCAGCTAGTCTTTATAACTCATATTATACATAGTTTTTAAAAAAAGAAATAGGGTGCGAAGCTTCCCCTTAATACTAAATTTAAAACCCTAATATAAATTCGTGGTTTTTCTATTTCAAAATCGATTAGATTTCCTTTAACATCTAATTTAAAAGAAAAAACACCAAAAATTGGATTTCGAAGCTTCCCCGTAATACTAAATTTAAAACCCTAATATAAACAACTATTTTGTTTTTTTGAAAAAATGATTAAACTTCTTTTTAAAATCTAGTTAAAATATTGCCACACATTGGATTTCGAAGCTTCCCCCTATTACTCAATTTAAAACCCTAATATAAACAACTATTTTGTTCTATTTCAAAATCGATTAATTAGATTTCCGTTTAACAGCATCTAATTAAAATGTTGCTAAACACTGGATGTCGCAGCTTTCCCCTAATATTAAATTAAAAACCTTAATATAAAATACATTTTTTTCGACCTTAAAAGACGGACCCTAATAAAAAACACCCTGGGGTTGACTAGTTTTTATTATTAGGGGGTAACCCTAAAATGGTAGCTTCATGTTTAAATTGTTTTCTAAAGGGGATCAATTCAAAATCAAATTGGCCAACCTCAAATTTTCCAAAATTGGAGACAGACCCTAGTCTTTATTATTTGGGGGGGTTAGTAATAGAGGGAAGGGATTATCTACCTATAGAATTGGTGATTTCCAATAGCTATGACAACCAAAAATGTGATTTCTCTTTTCTGGGGGGGTTGGGGTGGCCGGTGGAGGATCCCCAAAAGGGTGGAGGGATGTGATCACATCAGTGAAGAAGATTTTGATGGCAACGCGAGCCGCTAAGCAAAAACATGTATTATTGTGGCTGTGGATGGGCCAAGTCCTGCACCAGTTGGTAACTATTGGTAACTAACTATGAAACACTGTAAATAATGAAGTGGGATTATGATGAGACAAACATGGACAAACCATCTACCAATTGGTGTCGGATTTTCATGCATCCACGAGTATGTGGCGATATACCGACTCAATTATGAAATACGATTCAATATGATTCCGGCTGCGATTTGCTGTAATTGCCAATGGTACAGGCAAGGAAGGGACCCACCTTCCACAATCCAAGTTTGAAACGCGCCACCAGGTGTGTTTGAGGAAGGATGGGCCCGGACAGCCGAGCCCGAACCAGACTCCAGCCAATACCTGCATGTCACGGGTCTCTTGCAAGGGATCGAGGACAGGTTTGGATCATGCCGAACATGGTGGGAGTGGTACATGGGGTGCATGTTATGGGCCTCGGAAATCCAAGACTGGCCAAGACCTCAGGAGAGAACCAAATTCCATGAAAATCTGAAGAAAAGTCGTTGCTGAAGGCTGAAGGTGTTTGTTTTTGTATGTTTTTGTTGGCCATTTTGCTATTGGTAAATCTACTATTTGGGGAATTATATCCCCAATGCTCCATGTATGGAATATTTACCAACATTCCCCCCAAATTGCCCCAAATGTGGGGTAAATAGTCCATACAGATATACAGTGAGCATACTTAGATAAATCTTAGATATACTTAGATGGGTCATGGAGTTAGTCAACTAGTCAACTAGTCAATGATTTACAGTTGTTTTTTGGCTTATACTTATATATACCCCACTTACAAAACAGTTAGGCTAATCCTGTGGCCCATCTGGGTACGGGTATGGAAGACTTGGTCATTTTTCAGGGCAATTTCCCGCCAGGAATCAACGCTTCAGAGGTGTTTCGGTCGCGCTGGCAAGGTGGAAGAGATCCGTTTCCTTCCCCAGGAGACTGATTCGTAAGGGGGACTCTTCAGGAATTTGTAATCTATTTGTAGTCAACATGTGGGCTTACAAAGGTAAATGGGGGTATAATTCTTGGTAATTATACTTATATGATACATAAGCAAGTTGATATCTAGATCTAGGTGTGTCTGAAATTGGGTTATATACCGATATACCTCCAAATGGCAATCCAAATAGCAGGTAAGATGATGATACACCAGTAGATAGTCCATGGGACAAACCCAAAGTAGGGATTGAAGATGATTGAACCATAGGGTTTTAAGCAATGAACCATGGGATATCCATGCTTCGTCTCAAGATTTCGGATACCAGAAATATCCAGAAATTGCAGATTTTTTTGGGTGGCAATGGTGAAAAACACTGTACAGTAATCTACTGTAGATTCTTGGGGTAATGTTGAGACAACCACCCAACATTGCAGGCTGTGAGTTAGAATCATGTGGCCAGCGGCATCGTTTTTCTTGAGATATGAGCGGGACAGTGCACTCAAGATAATAAATTAGACAATCAGGTGTACATTGCTGTTACGAAACCCAGAAGCCGGCAAGCATATGTCGAGCGTCAACAATGTAGAAGAGCCAATCAGGTAACATACAGTACCATTTGGTTTTGATTGTGTATAATGATTCGTGCACATGTAGAATATGTATGTACTTTTTTAAATCTTATTTGTAAATTATAAATGTTAAACGATATATATATATACATATACAATATAGATATATACACAGGCATGCTTGTATTTAAAGAGAAGACCAACGTATTTATCGAAGTAGAGGTAGTTTGCCAAAATTGCCGGTTCCTAATCTTCAAAGGTACTTCCAAGCCCAATCATAAAAAACTAGGGGGTTTTGATGAAATTCTACTGCACACCCCTGCGGTGTAATTGACCCTTTGATCCCCTAAATCCATTGTTCATTGGTTAAAAGGTTGAACCCACCATTCTTGATGGTGAAACATTCCCATTTCGGCTGGTGAAACCCCATGACGGCCTGGAGGAAATTCCTTTTATACATCATATCAACTCCCAAAACGATGCGGAAGAAAGCTATAGAATTTTCTTTATGATCTTTATATATGGAGGTTTACTAAAATGGATGTACCCCAAAATAATGGGCAATAATGGGCATCAATACTAAAATTGATCCAATTTTGGATGATTTGGGATACCCCTATTTTAGGAAACCACCATATAAGTATGATTCGTGATTATTTTAGATTTAAAGACTCCACCAGGTTCCATTTTTTCGGGGGTGGGTTGCTATCAATCCAGCAAGTGACGGGATGATTTTGCCGCGAGGATCAGGCTATGGCCTCCAGATGTGCCGCCCTGGTTCCTCGGTGCCTGGAGATTTCTTTGGATTTGGACATGCAGAGTGCCATAAAACTAGTCATTACGTCATATATTTACATAAGTTTACCATAGATTCATTGATATCCAGCCTATAGGATGGTTCAAACACTTTTAGATATCTGGTAATGATTGGGATAAATAAATAAATAGATAAATAAAAATATATAAATATGTAAATAAATATACAGAGAGAGAGAGAGAGAGAGATAAATATAATTAGCCAATCCCCCGTGCAGTTCACATCAAAGTTCGATGGCCCTAGGTGAAGATGTCGAGTGTCGAGGAGGCCAAAGTGGCTCGAGAAAAGCTGGAGCCTTGATCTGACAAAATGGGTAGCATTCCCCATCACAAAATGGCAAATTTATAGGGAAATTATATATATAGCTAGGGAAAACCATCGCAATTTATAGGGAATTTAGAGAGAAAACAATGGCAGTTTATACTGCAGCAAAAACTTGCAGTTTATAGGGAAAAAACCATTTATAGTCATGGAACAATAATGGCCAACAGTAATTGGATAACTGGGATGCTTATGGATTTACTCTGCAGCAATTTAAACGTACTGGAAAATCCCCGTGGCCTAACCATGGAGGTTTCGTTCGCTAAATGACGGATGTCCCAGCAAGGCATGGAGCTGATTACCGGATGGCAGGATGGTAATAAAAATCATAACGACAAGTCAGCCAGTTTGGAGGCACCCCTGTTTTCACACACACTCTGGCCATGGGACTGTTGTTTTGAAGCGGGCCTGACGGCTTAACCGTTAACGGTGTCACAACGAGTCCTGGACGTATCTCACGGTATCATTGTTTGGTGGAATGGCATGATTGTCAGCTGTGCAATTTAAGTGACTTACCTATAGATCCCTTTTGCTATTCATATATGGTGCACTGTCAGCTGCTGTCAGCTGTGAAAATTGTCACCTGCCTATAGCTACCAAATACATGGTGCAACGCTTGCTTTTTTTGTCATGCTAGTGTCATTCGTGCTGCCATGAACTGGGCAAGCACATGGTCAGAAGCTGTGCTCACCGACACTTTTTTCACTGTTCCTTCCAGAGAATTCAAGCGCCTTTTGCAGCAAAGTGTTCATGACTGAACTGTAAAATCCTCCAGCGAGTGTTAAGATGATTGAGGGTTAAAACCTTACCAGTCTTTCATGTTCGCTTGGTTTGCGCAAGTAAGGATGGAGTGATTCCAGAGGGAACTGGCTTCTATGCTCAAATGCTGACTCACGCCTATGCAGGTGTTTATGTTTGTGCAGCATTGAGGAAATTGTTACCAATGGTATCCAATGCTGTGCTTAAATCATTAAATTATCTGAAATAGAATTAGCTTAATCTGAATGAGAGTGCCCAGGTGCAAGTCAGAACATGTATTGGCACAGATGATATTTATATATATATATATAATATATATATAATTAATTATATATGCATATGCACATGTATATTGATCTCATATGTCTTGGTTTCCCACCTTTCTATCTATTTTGGGATTGCTTTATAGTGGATCCTGCACCCAATTTCCTGCAGAGAAATTCCGATGCTCTCCATGAGAGCTAGACAATCACGCTAGTTATGCGTTTGGTGGGTGTGGCAACCCTCGAGCTAACCCCAGGAAACCAGCTTTGAATCACTTAAGGCAATACGATAAAATTTGGTCATTTGGAAACAAATGGCTGGTGTGGCTGGTGCTTTTGTGTTTCGTTTGAATTTGAATGCGCCGCTAAGCCCAACATTCTAATGTGATGAAATCGACATTGGATCATTGGGGTATCCTTGGATTGGTTACTACTTTACACTTTTGCTACAGATGGATGGATGTACTATTGTAACCAGCTTTTCAATCAAAGATGCAGATAGATGCAGTGAATCTAAGATTGGCCATGCACCCTGCTACCCTGCAGTACTCACACATGGCTTGCTTGAATATCTTAGTTCGATGAATTTCCCAGTCCCAGCCAGCTACGTTTGACACCTGAAGGTTGAATGCAGCTAAGCAGCTATGATCTCATGGTTATCCTGATTATATCTCTTGAAATCCAGTTGGTTAAACCTCCATGTTTTATAGGTACCAAGGCCCTGCAAGTAGCCATCAGAGGCTTGGAAACACCAGGATTCCTGCGGTGCCAAGGTTTCGAGATGGAGCGCACTTTGATGATTACCTTCCAGGCCTTCAATGGGGGATGGCCAGCGGCATGGCCACCGTTTAGGCCACGGGATATCCAGAGAATATTGTACATTAGTTAATGTTAATTAAATGGATTTACATAAAAAAAAACATGGATAGCCTTGGCATCTACATGTTAAATGGATTTGCATATAATCATGGATAGGATTGGCAATACCCCCATTTTCAAGTCAACAACGCCAGGGTTGTGTCCTAAATCGATCTACATAGGACAATCCGAGAAATTGACAGTGGATTCGTAGCCTCCAGGGTCTTGGGTCACCCAGACAGGTGAAGAATGGAATCCAAGTCTGTGATCATCTCTTTGTTCGAGGAATCCCTTCCGCGGTCACCCAGCTGCACATCCTTTGGGTGGGGTCCGAGTGCAACTTGATTGCAACCAAAATGGGGCTGAATTGAATGATGCAAATGTTCTAAAGGGATCGGGACGAGGATCCACACTTGAGATCATGTTTGATGGAACCGTTTTCCTTGTTTTTTTTTGTTTCCTGTTGCTTCAAACCAGAGATTACTGTAGTCATGTTGTTTGATGCGAGTTTTCATGCTGTCCTCCAGGTTCAGAAGCATCAAATCGCCTCACTCTTCAACTGCTACGGCCAAGTGCTTTGGAGCCTCCTGGCATAGACACGGTTCATATTAGCCTTGGGCAGTTCGCCCCTTGGCAAATCCAAAGGGGATGTGAACTGATTTTACTCGTTTTGGCCATGGACATATCAATATATATATATATATATGAGATACATTGAGATACAATATGAGCATTTCAATATTTGGATCCAATGGTATTTCCGAGGATCTCCAACAATTTCCGTTTAAGGGATTTTTAGGGAGATTCCGCTCGATGATTTTAACATATGTTTAAGCCCCAAAAAGAATCAAACAGGTAGATCATGTTTAAAGTACCCCAAAAAGTTTATCAAAAAAAGAAACGCAGTTCGTAAATCCCCACCATGTTTTTTTGGAAAAACACTTTTCGGCATTTGTGGGGTCACTATGTTTAACATGTCTTGGCAGCTGTCCATGGCGCGCCACCTCACGGACACGACTGAGGCAGCATTTTGCCACAACGACTGGGCGAGGAGGACCGATGCGCGTTGGTGCAAATGGCGAGTAGCAGCTGGGTGAAACGAAGGGAGAGACGGGCGATGGGGATGCCTTGAAGCGTATGTTTTGGACCTTTTGTGGTAAATTATCTTAGATTATTTAAGATTATGTATGTATATTATTATATGATATTGTATGTTTTTTATGCCCGTGAGTCATTTTTGATATTCCTACCTAGACCCTCCAAACTACCTAGAAAAACTGAGTAATATACCACAATATACCCATTATTTTGGCACTTCTACCTTTCTTGTTGGGTACTCGGAGGGTCTAAGTACCTGCAAACATGTAGATTTGGCCAACAATATAATTGGGATATGTAGGGATATGATATAATTGGGATAATCATACAATGATGTTTATATGTGCTTACATATTGTACTGATGTGTACTGTACATGTTTGTGGTGCATTGATTTGCGCGAGAAAAAAACACATATAAGCATAGACAATGTAATGTAAACAGCCCAATATTTGACCATCCCCAATAGAGATTCTTTATTGGCTACAACACCTAGGACTGGGATGATGTAAAATGACCTTCAAATGGCTGGTGAATGGGATGGTTTATGGCTTGGGGTCCCAGAGCAAATGTCAGAAACATTCAGAAACCAACTTAGCTACCCTCTGGTAAACTAACATAGCTATGGAAAATCACCATTTTTAATGGGAAAACTCACTATAAATTGCCATTTTCAATAGCTATGTTAGTTTACCAGAGGGTAACTTTTTCGGGCACCACCTTGTATGTTCAGATCTGCTTGGTAAGTTTGATCTCACTTGGCGCTGATCCAAACATGGATGGTGTGCCTGTCTGGCGTAGTGGCCGACCTTCCTAAACGGCTTTCCCAAGATCGTAGCTGGTGGTCAGTATGGCTATATACACATCATAGTTAATGTTCATAGCAATCAGTTTCTGCACCACCTCATAATAATATTGTTACTGTAAATTTATATACATACACAAACACACACATAACATATATATGTATATGTAGATAATTATATACATAACAACCTGATCAACTGATGTCAACATGGATTTCATGGGAGAAATACATATTGAAATACATTGTTACATGTTCAATTCAATTCCAAGAGAAAAAATAGGCGATGAAGCCCAGAACGCTATCCAAGCCTTGAATTGGTCGAGCTCTTCTGCGCCTCGGTCGGCAGCTGGAGAGAGGTGTCATTTTCTCGGCCTCACATTGGTGTGATAGATCTCACTCCGTAACTGATAATGGTTAAGGTGGGCTTTAAAACAATAATAAACCACCCATGACAGGGAATGGTGTATACCACCTATTTATGGTGATTTGAGGGGTTGGTTTATTCTTGTTTCTCAGACGTTAATGGTTGATAATGGCTAATATTGGCTTCACCAGGGGTTAGTAATGTGAAGATGTGGGCAGTGTGGTGGGGCAAATCCTCTGAGAAGCCCTGGCAAAAACAAGGGGTTAGTAATGGTTAATCCTATAGTTAGTATAGGGTACCTTCCAGCAATCAAACGTGGCATTTGGAAATCCCCTATGAATGGAGGATTCTGGCTGGGAAAACATCGAACTCAATGGTGGATTGTCATTACATGTCATTACCACGTTTGATTACCGGAGTGTAGCTTAGAATCTGTGGGTCTATGCAATCATGGGAATCCAGCAGCGAAACGGAGTGTCCGGAGTGTGAGTTGTCATGAACATCTGACAAGGCAGGAGGTGGAAGGAATACAAATTGACGGAATAGTGTGGAGAAAAGCAATGCTGTGCAACAAGGATTATATAAAGCAGTGCTTTTGGGTTTTCCGTTTCTTAAGTTTTTCAGGTCTAGCCTGAGAACATGTCTATGAAGAAAGATCTCTGGAATGAAACTATAAGACGAGTTGAAATCCTTCAGTTCAACTGGATGATTTGACCATATGTGACCCATAGGGGATAGACTGGAAATGCATCCTATCAGCAAACCATCAGCTAGATAGTCCCAGTACTGTCTTCTCAATTGTCTAATTTGTTCCTCATGTTTCTGCTTTATGTTCTGGAATTTCCTCCAACTGATCATTTTCCCATCATGTTCCTTCATTTCCTACCGTTTTCTGATATCATTTTCTTGCCATTAAAACCCATGGTTTTCCCATGTTGTCCTATGTTTTCCTACCGTTTTCCCATGATTTTTCCATGTTTTTGCTGAGGCCTTGATGCCCTCCATGATGGTGCGCTACGCCGGCTCCAAGGTCTTCGTGGCCCTGCAGGCGACGGAGTTCGGCCAGGAGGGCATCGACGAAGGCGCGGAAGTTTGTTTCGGCCAGGGTGGTGGTGAACCATCTAATGATGATAATAATGATACTTAGTGTTAATATGGTTCATAATAATCATTGGTTAATAGCTATACGTATATTATGATGGTTTATGGTATAACCTGATGGTTTATTTATGATAATGATGATAAACCAATGATGGTTAATAATAATCATGATGCTTTATGATGGTTATAGCTATATAGTAATGATGGTTAGTGTTAATAATAATGACTAATTGTGACTGCATATGTTTAATGATGCTTTATGATGGTTAATGATGGTTAATGATGGTTAATGATGGTTATCCTATATATATATGGCAATTTAACCTAGCTATGGAAAACACACCTTTTTTAATAGGTAAATATAGGCAAACAGCAGCCACAAGGGTTTCATTTTCCATAGCTATGTTAAACAAGATGGTAGTAGTTTTAATGTGAGCATAGCTATATAGTAATGATGGTTAGTGTTAATAATAGTGACTGTATATAGTTAATGGTGATGGTTAATGATGGTTAAGAAGTATATTTCACCATTAACCATGAGTCAATTATGAAGCATACTTGCAGGAACGGAGTGTTAATTGTCAATGGTTAATGAACATGGATAACAATGGTTAATACGTGTTAACAATGGTTGCCTATTGCCTTGCTAACATTACTTGGGGATCAAATTGTTCATAATCGTTAACAGTGGTCACTGTGATAATTAGACTACAAAAATACCTATTGGTCATTGTCATCCACTTAGTAACAATGTACTACATGTTCATAATTTGGTCGATACTGGCAAATATTGGCTTCACCATGAGTTAAGAATGGTCAATGGGATAATTTAGGGGGTATTCTAGCTGGAAAAAAACATCGAACTAAATGGTGGAAGTGGAATATTTCGTTGGGTCGGTTGCTATATATGGTTTAACTTGATTTTCATGGCTATATAATGGTTAAAGATACAAACCTAACCGTTAACGTTAATTAGGCCAATAGATATTACAATGTGGTGCCCCCCGGCTGGTGCCCAGGTCCTTCGTTCGCAAAGTTGGGAAACATCACCAGGCAAATTCCATCTCGTTTATGGTAGATATATGATATATCTTTAGTTGGGAATATAAACCAGCTCATACCCTCTGGTAAACTAACATAACTATGGAAAATCACCATTTTTAATGGGAAAACTCACAATAAATGGCCATATTCAATAGCTATGTTAAATTACCAGAGGGTAACTTTTGGGGGGCACCACATTGCAAATGGCTTGAGCCCAGTAAAATAAAAAAAACTGGACTAAGCCTTCTTACCCTACTAATCCACTTACGAGGTCACCGCGACCTCGCCATAGGCTGCGGTTATATGGTAGGAGAAATCATCCAAAATGACACGGAATATTGGAACATGGGGATTGGAACATGGTGATTTCATGCGGATTTTCTCAACGAGTACGGCCAAATTAGATGTCATGGGAAATTGGAAAATTGTGATTTAATCAGATTAAACAAAAATATATAAACCAAGAACACCAATAGGATATGATCATGTATGACATATCACGACATGGTGTATTTCCCAAATAACAGAAGTTGCATGGCCAGTGGATTGCCTTCTGCTTGTGTCTGAGGCGAGGGGAGCGAAGAGGACGAGGATTTCGCTCACTTCGGCGTCATCGATGAAGCGCCAAAGCCTGCCTTCCAGCCGTTGAAGGAGCGACCGCAAGAAATGGGATCAAGATGGAAGAAAGCCGAGGTGCCACGCCGCCGGGAGATGCCGGGTTCGGTGATTTTGGGGTTCATCCAGACCGGGTAGAAACATTAGGGTTTAGGGTGTGGAAAAGGTATTGACTCATAGACCGAGACATGCTATATTAAACATATATGTAAACAGCAATTCATGAACATCAATGTGCCACAATATGCCACATAATTAGTAACCATGTCTCCATTCTATGGCTAGTTTTCTCCTTTCTATGGCGGGCCGCCCAGGAAGAGGACTGGGATGGCCCCGAAGGCACTCGCCTTTGGGGATGGGCCATGCAACCGGTGAAGGTGGGGAATCCCAGGGATTCCTGGGTTGACTGGTCATGGAAGTGTTTTACCCTCTGGTTATGTCAAAATAGCTATTGAAAAGCACCATTTTTTAGCTGGGAAAATCCACTATAAATGACCATTTTCAATAGCAAACTGTTAGTTTACCAGAGGGTAGTGCAAAAGCATCTAAAGCATCTAAAGCATCTAAAGCAACTGCAATTTTTTCATTTGAAGCAACACATTGATTTGTCATCACCTGCGCAGGTGGAGGAGGTTCACCCCGAACCCGAGAACTGGGAAGAACTGGGTGATGACGAGCCTTCTGCGACTTGGATTGCATGGGCTGCTGGGATGTATAACCAACAAATAGGAATGAACCAACCAACATCTGGATTTAACCCACTAGAATGGGGATATGAAGATAGAACTAACAGGGTGGTTGTGTGTGAAAACGGCGAGAATTGCGTTAAAAAATTCTGAAAATGATGATAACGCATTGAATTTGCGGATTTCCCATTTGCAAACAAACCCATTGATGAATCACTTCCTGAGGAGACCATGATTTTCCGTGGATTTACCGTTACCCTATTCTCAGACAAATCCAAAGAAGTACCGGGCCATTGATGTTTCAGAAGCCATGCACCTGATGACTGGGCATCGTTGCTTTCAATCTCACAGCTTCTATGGATTATCCGCTCAGATACCCTCTGGTAAACTAACATAGCGAACTGGAAAATTACAATTTTTAATGGTAAATCAACTGTAAATGGCAATTGTCAATAGCAACCTGTTCAATTACCAGAGGGTAACCTAAAAAATAACCAATATTGTAGTGCAAGAACACCCAGTCATGAAATAGCATTGGCAATGGCGGGGCACCGTGCAGCCTGGTCTGAGGAGTTATTGTGCATGAAGGATCCTCCCAAAGGTTTGCCAGATTCGGTGCCTTGACATTTTTTGGCATCCGTGCTGTTTGGCAGTTGGCCTGTTTGAACTGTGATGTTCAGACATGTTCATACATACCATGTCACAGAAACACCTCTGACAGAATCATGTCTAGTGAGTCTAGTTATGAAAGATTGCAGCTGAAACAGAACATTTATGTGTACATATATTGTATGTATTTGTAATATAATATGTTCATTGATTGTTCTACATAATTCCATGCCACCAATGTTTATTCATTTGTTTTGCCGGTGCCGCAACTGAAGGTAATGCAGATGTGGTTCAAACCCTACGGTCATGTGGTCGAGATGTGGCCTTTGGAGCAGAGCCTTCACCAGGAGGCACTTACGTGCATTACTAGTACATCACATGAAAAATCAATGAAATCACATTACATTAGATTACATACAGTTGCATATACAGTTGCATACATACAAATGCATAATAATAACAATAAAAAATAAAAATAAAAATAATAACATATTTACATAATACACATATGTTTACAGTATATATATATATATGTATATGTGTGTGTAGGAATGCGCACGCACAGACATATATATATATATATAGATGTATGCGCAACTTCTTTGTAATACAACAACAACAACTTTTCAAATGTTTCACTACTTTCTGTGCAGGCTACCCCCAAACTGGGTTTGACCTCGTTGAAAGAAGTTGTCCTGTTGTCCCATGTCATAGAACGGCTAACTTGGCTCCAGAGTTCTTCCTTTCTGGGCCATTGTTCCATCCAGCCATCGGCCAGGAGAATGACTCCGTGGCCTTTCTGGTTCACATGTCGTGCAAGGAAGAGGCCATCAATGCTTTCAGCGCCCTGAACGGCAAGTCCATCATGCGAGGCCGGGGATGCCCTTGTGATACGTCTCACCCGGCAATGGAAAGACCACATCTTGCAGGAATTTCCCAGGAGGCCGGCCATTGATTGGCGGCCCTTACAAGGTAGTGCCCCATGGGAATTTGGTCAACACTAGAGATTTTATAGGGATAACTAGGCTTTAATGGATGTTTATGGGTGATCTATTTATGGTTATAAGTTGGGTGCATAGCCCAACTTATAACTAACTAAGGGGCACCAGCTTGTACCATTGCTATTTTTTTTGAACCAGAGGAAAACCACCTGTTCAAATGGTCCCAGCTGTAGATGGGCCATCAATAGCCATCTCAGGGCAAAGACATAGGTTCCAAATTGACGGCCTGTCATGAGACCCCAAGCAGCTTAGTTTGCAAAAGTGTCAAAACGATGCGGATAAGGTTGAATTTACCAACATTTACCCTTATTTTACCATGGTGCTACTGTTTTTTTTAAAGCTAACTTCCATCTTTGGTGCTTGCATACCCTAGGCCCAAAAAAGGCTATCTAGCTACTGATAGTTCAACCCTTTGTCCGCCTGTTCTACACGGTTTGCATCCCCGATTTTGGAGTTAAACGACGTAACTAGTTATGTTTATTTATGTTTATTTGCTGTCCATTCCTTGCAATATCACCCCCTAACATGAAATACCCATCTTAGACACCTGGCTTAGTATATTGGATTGGTTCATTTTTGGGGCCATGCGGGAGATATCAGGCGGAAAGGATGAATTGTAGCCATGCCTATCCATGCCAGCCATGCCTCAAGGCTGCCCTTTGAACCTCAGCTACTGGCATGGCCCTGTGGAACGCGCCAGTCTGCCATCGGCGGCGGTGGATAGTAACCGACTGCTGGCAGCAGCGCGGCTGCTGGCCTCGAAGAAGAAGGAGGCATTTGAAGCTGAGACTTGGAGATTCATCAACATCCCAGACTTGATCGCCAAGTTGAAAAAATGGTTGTTGTTGTTTTTTTTGGTTTGAAAATGGGATATACAAGTACCCCCCCAAAGGCCATTTGGAATATGGATAAGGATGATGAACTGCATTTTTTGGTACTGTATTTTCAGATAAACCCAACTGGTTTGCCTTTTTCAGTTACTGTAAAACTACATTTTAGTTGCACGCCTCACTGCAGTAGAGAAGGAGAAACGACTGGCTTCCCTTGAAGGCAGGGGTCCCAATCAACTCACAGCATTCCTAGTTGGATGAAATGTGTTAAGTTTCTGATTCACGCTCAATATTGCTGATCATTACTACACTTATTACTTATTCCATTTATGACTGATTACTTATTCCATTTATGACTGATGATGAAATTGACATGTTTTCCGGTTGAAAAAAAGGCATTTTTGCCTTGCCCACAGGCCGGGCTGGCCCACCCCCGAATGCCAAGGAGACAGCAACTCCGCCTGTGGAGCATCCCAGGGTATCCAGATATCTTTGCTTGGAAGACCCACCGAATCTTCCGGAATCAGCACCTTGGTGAAATTCCATGGGCCCCCAGCCGGCTGCAGCACTGCATGTCTTGGTGGGGTGATTTTTTTCAGTGGGACATGTGACATGTGTGACTGTTTCTTGTTGGTGGTTTCAAACATTTTTTATTGTCCATAATATACGGGATAATCCTTCCCATTGACTAATATTTTTCAAGATGGTTAAAACCACTAACCAGGTTTGTTTTCATGTTGTTTTTTCTTTCGATGGCTGCTTGGAAAAGATTCCGTCAGTGGTAAATCGGAGAATCTAGGTAGCCACATAGCAACCCCACAAGACAGATACCGTAGAAAACTGATTGAACGGATTATCAGTATTTCAGTGGCAATTTACACTTCTATCTTTTGAGGGGTTATTAGAGGATATATGTTCGTGCCTTCACCAAATCGGTTGAATCAGCCAGGTGATCGAAGTGTGGTTCAAACCCTATGGCTCTTTGCTAGAGATGAGACGCGTGGAGACGGAGAAATCCATGGCATACGTGGTGCAGCTTGGCCGAAGCGTTCATCGAAACGCTGGGTTGGAGATTTACCCTCTGGTAAACACACATTTTTCTTAAAAAAAACAAACTATTTTTCCATAAGTAAATCAAATCTATCCATGGGCTATTTTCTATAGCTATTTTTTGGTTTACCAGAGAGTACCCTCGGTTGAACTCTTGGAGAAGGCGATGGAGAGGCAGGTCATTCCAATTCGGATTCCAACACTGGAACCGCAAGCGAAACAGGCTTCATGGTTCCTTCAGCAAAAAATACTCGGCCCTCCCCCTCCCAAAGAAATGAACGCTTAAGCTATATGTGTTGCCGCGTGTCTTATAGGGAATTCATCAAACTTATCAGGCTGAGATTGAATCAGATAGTTGAATTTGCTAGGCATATGACATGTGTATTTATGAGGTTTGGAACATTTTTCATTTTCCATAATATATGGGATAATCCTTCCAATTGACTAATATGTTTCAGAGGGGTAGGTCAACCACCAAGCAGATTATATATATATATATATTAATTTAATGCGGGCCTCTTGGCATCCCCAGCACGTTGAATATGGGTGACATACAGGAGAGAGACAGCGCATGATGAACCATGGGATTTCGAGTTGTTCCCCAAAATGTTCAGACTTACCATGACATATGTGGAGGTTTCCTGAGTCATGGGGTACCCCCAAATCCCAAATCATCCCAAATCATCCAAGTCATTAGACTCATATGAGACCGCCATTTGTGATTGATTGGTGGTTTGGAACATTTTTTATTGGTCCATATATTGGTAATGTCAAAAAAAACCAACTGACGAAGTCATATATTTTTCAGAGGGGTAGGTCAAGCACCAACCAGCCATTGATGACGGTTTTAGTATTGAAACCTATGACTTGGGGGTCCCCATGGGTCCCCCAAAAACCCCCAGGCAGTTGTCCAGTGAAGACGAAGCGATGAGAGCCCACGAGGCGTTGAATGGCAAAGCCATCATGGGTCACCGGGCGGCAGCCGCCCTGGGACAACAGCCCTGGGGGTGTCCCAGAAACATGGGGGTCGGTCAAAACCTATTACTATCAATTTTAGTGGGATGAACATCCATTTATCAGCTATTTTGATGTTCACCAGGGGCACAAGGTTTTGACACACTGCCACATGGCGATACCCCAAATGGATGGCTGGATGGCTGGACAATCCGTCATGAAAAGGGATGATTTAGGGGTGAATAAGTCATGATGGTTTCCATAGTCATGGGGATACCCCAATAGCTGGATGGTTTGTTTACGGGAAAATCATCTATAAATGGTTTAGGATATGCCAATTTGTGAATTGTAGTAATCCTCCATACATGGTTTGAAAAAAAGCATTGGAATCCTGGACCCCGATTACAATGTATTACCATCATTTCCCCATTGAAATAGCATTCTAGCGGCTATATCATGATATTCCATTTTTGGACAAAACCACACAGCATATTGTTGGTTATATATCAAGATAGTAGTTGGCATTTGCCGTAACTTTGTTGGTACCTATCAATCAATATTAGTTTATAGTTTGACATACTAAATGATATCTTCATTATACCCAGTATTAAGAGATATTGATACCGGATGGGTATGCAGTATGCATAATTAATGCCAACTTGGGGTGAATGTTGACATGTTGTTGACATGGGATTAGAACACTGTCTCTAAACAAACTATGCAAAGTTCCTAGATGGATTAGTAAATCTTAGTAACCCCCCACCCCGTTCCGGAACTGGATGGAAAAATCGGCAGGTAAGCCCCTCAACCAATCCGTGAAGGTGATACACCCCTCGCCAAAAGTTGGTTTATACAGCCAGAGAACTAGTTCGATATATGCCCCATGAAGCCGAAGGTTGCTCTAGTTCTAAACCAAGTGACCTACTGCAACCATGGTGCACCACCGTGTCTATTTCATAGTGAAGTTAAAACATGTAAAGAGGTGTTAAACTCTCTTTTACATGGTGACACCTATTTTATGTTAACATGAAATCATCTTGAAAAAGCAAAAAACACACACTGTAATCAGCTTAAAAATCATGTTGGATATCATGCTAACCATGAACACAACATATTAAACCACCCTATTTCATGATGAGCCGCCCATTTTTCATGGCCTTGGGCCGAGGCAAGTCCCTGAGCGTCCGCTATTGGCACGAGAGCGGTGCCACGGCCGAGGCATTGATGGTCCTGGATTCAGAGACCACATGTTTTTGTTTGTTTGTTTTTTTTTTTTTAAATAGTATCTATATGGTCATATGGTTGTCGTATCTATGATAGTATCTAATATATATATATATTACAAACAAACATGGTTTGATTGATGTCATTTTTTGTAATTATATACATGTAATTATATCATACTGGAGAGAGGAACAAAGATATACAAATATATACAAATATATTATAGTTTGATTATTGTCAATTTTTTGGGCATTGGGCACAATCCTACTAAGCTGGGTGGGGTTTCGTGATGGAATGTGATGGATTTGTGACCGACCCCCTATTGAATTGATGGTTTTACATACATACAACGTTGATACAACACCTTACATAAATTACAGTATATATATATATTGATTTATGTAAGGAACAACTAGTGAGATATATACAGTATATACATAACACATCAAATATACACTGTACATGGACTATGCAGATGAGATGAGACTAGACTAGACCAGACCAGACTAGATCAGGCAGACAGACAGACAGACAGGCAGACAGACAGATAGATAGATAGATAGGTAGATTAGAGATATCAATAGATATGTATAATACATATATATATATATATCTATATCCATCATATACCTATATGTGTATGTATATCAATAGGTATATGTATATATCTCTATATACCTGTAGGTGTATGTATATATATATATATCATATCCGGTATAGATAAAGCAGGTCCCAACATGGCTGTCCTGGTTGCCATCCCTCGGCCAGGCTGAAATCGATCGCTGTCCTGGCCCCGGCATGGGGATCGATGATCAGCAGCTGGTGGATGCCTGCAAGGTGCTGCTGGAAGCGACATTTGCGTGGAATATTGTTTTGAATAGTGGAAATATATGGGATAAATAATGGAAATACTTGGAATATATGGGATAAATAATGGAAATACTTGAAATATATGGGATAAATGATGGAAATACTTGAAATATATGGGATAAATAATGGAAATACTTGGAATATATGGGATAAATAATGGAAATACTTGGAATATATGGGATAAATAATGGAAATACTTGAAATATATGGGATAAAATAATGGAAATACTTGAAATATATGGGATAAAATAATGGAAATACTTGAAATATATGGGATAAATGATGGAAATACTTGAAATATATGGGATAAATAATGGAAATACTTGGAATATATGGGATACATAATGGAAATACTTGAAATATATGGGATAAATGATGGAAATACTTGAAATATATGGGATAAATAATGGAAATACTTGGAATATATGGGATAAATAATGGAAATACTTGAAATATATGGGATAAATGATGGAAATACTTGAAATATATGGGATCAATAATGGAAATACTTGGAATATATGGGATAAATAATGGAAATACTTGAAATATATGGGATAAATGATGGAAATACTTGAAATATATGGGGATAAATAATGGAAATACTTGGAATATATGGGATAAATAATGGAAATACTTGAAATATATGGGATAAATGATGGAAATACTTGAAATATATGGGATAAATAATGGAAATACTTGGAATATATGGGATAAATAATGGAAATACTTGGAATATATGGGATAAATAATGGAAAGACTTGGAATATACGGAATAAATAATGGAAATACTTGGAATATATAGGATAAATAATGGAAATACTTGGAAATATATGGGATTAAATAATGGAAATACTTGAAATATATGGGATAAATCATGGAATTTCTGGAAATAGCTATGGTATAGATGGCCCACATGTATAAGATAAACATTATAATTCACCGAACTCAGAGATTGTGTTTTTCCATAGCTACGTTGAATGGTAACTACCAATGACAAGGATATATTCTATAGAATATAGCCCAGAACAGGCAAAGATGGTGTTCAACATGGTTCAAGCAAAGGTAAATAATGATTTAAGTATCAACTGTAGGGATAGAATAGGGATATACCCAACAATTGTGGGGAATTGGTAGTATGTAAACCAACAATAGGGATTCAACCAACAGCTATTTATATGTGGTATACTAGGGCAACCAACTGGAGAGATAGATTAATACAACTTGCTATTAATATTGTTAATGGGGATGTCTACTAGCCAGCCTTCTTGTTTTGTGCGGGGTATCTACGATCAGAAAGATACGAAACAAAGGGAATAAGGTTTACCAGAAACACACAGCAAAGAACAGACACATAGTGTTTTCCAGAAAACCTGCTGACCTTAGCCGCAAAGAATCACTTTTACCATCTCTTTCGCCCGCCTTCAAACTGTGACAGGTGGCCTTAGCTCAAAGAAAGCAAAACCTCGAGGCTAAAACCGCGGCTCCAGCGCCCAAAGGTGCCAGAACAACGATGGGCTGGTCGAGTGGATCCGAGTTCAGCATCAAAAAATGATGGATTTGTATGTTATATAAGCACTAAAGAGGTTTAGCCCTGAAAAACAATGGATTTAACCAACGTCGGGTTGTTTTACCAGATTTTACCATTCTGCAATGGTGATACATGATATTAATATATAGCCAATATTTTTTTTGTGGACGTGTCTGAAAATGAGATGTTTAGGACTTCACAAAATTGCCATTTAGAAATCGGGAACATGAGGTTTACACCATTGGAATTTTCGGGCACCATATTTTCAGATACAGTACACCCATATGACTCACCAGGAAACGCGAAAAACGTTCGATGAAACTAGGGGTGTTCTGTGGTTAAACCCAATAGTAAAATCCCGAAGTCATCACCATTTTATCCATTTTTATGGCTGGTGTGTTTAGTTTAGTCAATAGAAATTTCAGGATCCTAAAATGGAGGTACTGTACCATATAAGACATTATAAGACCATATTTAGTGGGTATATTCCCTTACATAGCCCTGAAAAAATTGGCCTTATATATGGTAGGTACCTCCAATTTAGGTTCCTGAAATGGCCATTGAAATAGTAATGAAAATAAGAATAGCAACAGTAATCGTACTGAAATGTTGGTCATATAGTGCATATGTAATATCATAGCAATAACTCAGTAATAATACCTGAGGGTACAAATGTGGAGAGCAATAAAAACAGTACTGAACATCATAATAACATATCACAACAATAATCATACTCATGATACCAGGGATTTCTCATACTCATATAACAACAACAATCATACTCATGATACCTGAAATGGCCACTGATTTAGTATGTTTACCATCCCCAGTGTAGCATAATTCATGGCATTGGTTTATTTTTCCGGTTGACCACATTTTCTCCAAGAATCCCAGCAGATATTTCTTCACTCGCACTGTCAGGTTACCCAACCTGGTTATGACATTCACAGCTCGCCATGGTTTTTTGATGGCCCTAATCGAAATAGTGAGTTTTCCCATGAAAAATGGTGGATCTTTCCATGGCGAACTGTGAATGTCATAACCAGATGGTATAGTCCAATGTGTTGGTGGATGAGCACACGACAAAACTGCTTTAAAAGTCACACCCCGGCCAGTCGGTGCGTAATTTTATGTATTTCGTGTGATTTTTCATGCATGGGCTCTTCTGCTCACCATTTTGTTGGGATTCTACTATACAGTATGGCTTCGACAACGTACAGTATGGCTTCGACAACGTCAGTGGCCACCTGTCAGTGACCACAATGATTGTCGAATAGCACAATGGGCAGCAATTAATCATCCAGTAGTGGTACATTCCAACACAAGTGTTGATTCCGCCGCCTCCTCCTTTTTCTTGCTTCAGACTAAGTTACCCTCTGGTAAACATACAAAAAACTATGGAAAATCATCATTTTTAATGGGAAAATCCACTATAAATTGTCATGTTTAATAGCTATGTTAAATTACCAGAGGATAGTGTTTGTCTCATCCTTTGTTGAATTATCATGATTCAGCTGGACTCTTGCCGGATGCCGGATGCACGTTCGATGTGCATCCGGCTTATCTTCAAAAAACACCTCCGTAGTTATAAGGATCCTCATTACCCATAGGATCCATGTATGCTATATATGGTAACATTTACCATCAATATACCCCAAATGTTGGCATATATACCATACATGGATCCTATATGGGTTATTATTGTTGTCACCACCTGGCAAACTTGTCAAAAATCCACCAGTTCTTCCGATCATCCAGCGCTTGGTTGATGCTTGACACATCTCGATGCCCAGTAAATCTCGTTCTATCCATTGATTCCCACTGAATCTCATTCCATGCGGAGTTAGTGCTATAGCTGCTATACCCCAATATGTGGTTTAAAAAACATCAAGTCCCACAAAGTCCCACTGGACCCCTTTGATTCCCATGAAAACTGTTATCAATCCAAACAGTCAAACTAGATTCCATCTAATGAATAGTTAATACATGTTAATACAAATCCCATGAAGCTCATAGAAATCGGCGATTTAAAAATCCAATGAAATCCCTGGAACCCCTGGAACCCCCCAAGAGTTCACTGGTGTGATTTCAGGTGGTGATGTGGAGTCCTGGGAAGATCTGGAGGAGGACACCCAAGACATGTCTTTCTCGGACGTGCCGAGCGACGCGCTGTGCATCAGTGGAGTTCCACCGGGAATTCAGGAGATGGTGATGCAGTGCCTGGGACCTGGATTTTTCCGGGGATTTTTCAAGGGATTGATACAGTGATTTCATGGGTTTATTTTATGTTTTTGTTTTTTAAATGTGTGTGTTTGGCTTTGAATGGGGATGTAAATCAACAAAAAATTGCCCAGGGAAATTGTGTAATGTTGACACCGGATTAATAACCCCCCCCCCCCCCCCCTATAGGTCAACTAGGTCAACAAGGTCCAGTGAGGGGGTCCAAAAACCGAACCCCCCAAATAATGTCACCATTCATTCATCCATAAAACGATTGTTATAAGATTCCTATGGGAAAAGATTGGAAAACCTCTGATAAACCATCAGATTCCTATGAGAAAAGATGAGAAAACCTCTGATAAACCATCAGATTCCTATGAGAAAAGATGAGAAAATCTATGATAAACCATCAGATTCCTATGAGAAAAGATGAGAAAACCTATGATAAACCATCAGATTCCTATGAGAAAAGATGAGAAAACGTATGATAAACCATCAGATTCTTTTTTGGAAAGATGAGAAAACCTATGATAAACCATCAGATTCCTATGAGAAAAGATGAGAAAACCTATCGTAAACCATCAGATTCCTATGAGAAAAGATGAGAAAATCTATGATAAACCATCAGATTCCTATGAGAAAAGATGAGAAAACCCATGGTAAACCATCAGATTCCTATGAGAAAAGATGAGAAAATCTATGATAAACCATCAGATTCCGATGAGAAAAGATGAGAAAACCTAAGATAAACCATGAAATTCCTATGAGAAAAGATGAGAAAACCTATGGTAAACCATCAGATTCCTATAAGAAAAGATGAGAAAATCTATGATAAACCATCAGATTCTTTTTTGGAAAGATGAGAAAATCTATGATAAACCATCAGATTCCTTTGAGAAAAGATGAGAAAACGTATGATAAACCATCAGATTCCTATGAGAAAAGATGAGAAAATCTATGATAAACCATCAGATTCCTATGAGAAAAGATGAGAAAACCTAAGATAAACCATCAGATTCCTATGAGAAAAGATGAGAAAACCTATGGTAAACCATCAGATTCCTATAAGAAAAGATGAGAAAATCTATGATAAACCATCAGATTCCTATGAGAAAAGATGAGAAAACGTATGATAAACCATCAGATTCCTTTGAGAAAAGATGAGAAAACGTATGATAAACCATCAGATTCCTATGAGAAAAGATGAGAAAACCTATGGTAAACCATCAGATTCCTATGAGAAAAGATGAGAAAACCTATGATAAACCATCAGATTCCTATGAGAAAAGATGAGAAAACCTATGATAAACCATCAGATTCCTATGAGAAAAGATGAGAAAACCTATGATAAACCATCAGATTCCTATGAGAAAAGATGAGAAAATCTATGATAAACCATCAGATTCCTATGAGAAAAGATGAGAAAACCTATGGTAAACCATCAGATTCCTATGAGAAAAGATGAGAAAACCTAAAACCAGATTCCCATGAGAAAAGATGATGTAAACCATCAGATTCCTATGAGAAAAGATAAGAGAACCTATGGTAAAGCATCAAATTCCTATGGAAAGATTTGAAAATTAGTGGTAAACCATCAAATTCCTATGAGAAAAGATGAGAAAACCTATGGTAAACCATCAGATTCCTATGAGAAAAGATGAGAAAACCTATGGTAAACCATCAGATTCCTATGAGGGAACGTGAGGAAACCACGCAAAACCATCAGATTCCTATGGGAAAAGGTTAGACAACTAGTGGAAAACTATCAGGTTCCTATGGAGAAAAAAGAAAACCCTTGGTAAACCATAAGGTTCCTATGGAGAAAGAATAGAAATTAAATGGTAAACCATCAGAATCCCATGAGGGAATGACAGAGAGTCAGTCACCTCTTCCCAACATGATGAGCCAACCCACAAAAAACCTCTGAAACCAATGTGTTTGGCAATAGCGCGGCTTCGACCTAATGAAAGCACAGCTCTTGCAATGAAAGAGAGTCACCTCTTCCCAACATGATGAGCCAACCCACAAAAAACCTCTGAAACCAGTGTGTTTGGCAATAGTGCGGCTTCGACCTACTGAAAGCACAGCTCTTGCAATGAAAGAGGGCCACCTCTTCCCAACATGATGAGCCAACCCACAAAAAAACCTCTGAAACCAGTGTGTTTGGCAATAGCGTGGCTTCGACCTAATGAAAGCACAGTTCTTGCAATGAAAGAGAGTCACCTCTTCCCAACATGATGAGCCAACCCACAAAAAACCTCTGAAACCAGTGTGTTTGGCATTAGCGCGGCTTCGACCTAATGAAAGCACAACTCTGGCAATGAAAGAAAGCCACCCTGAAGTAATTAGAGGCAATGTCCAGAAGCAGGCAAAGGTAGCTAACATAACAGCAAGACATTGGCAGAGAAAGGCGCACAACACACAAGCATTCAAGCCAGCTGTGTGCCACCCCCGGGCTGCAAGACGCACCCTCCGGGAATCGAACCTGGGTCCATTGGCCCAGAGCCTATTCAATACCACTATGCCACGGGGGCTTGCCCTAAATGGCAAAAAATTGCTTTATAGAACCACTGACTGGGCCTGGAAGGGGTTTGCCGGAATCAAAAACACAATGCGCAACACCCCCCTAACCCCCCAACCAAACCCGCAGCCAAACCCCCAAACAACCCCCCCAATTAATGAAACCCCCCCAAATAACCCTCCCCAACCCTTTGGTAGTCGCCTCCAGCTCACGAAAGGCTCTTGCAACGATAAAAAGTCACCTTTTCCCATCATCATGAGCCAAAAAACCTCTGAAACCAGTGTGTTTGGCAATAGCGCGGCTTCGACCTAATGAAAGCACAGCTCTTGCAATGAAAGAGAGTCACCTCTTCCCAACATGATGAGCCAACCCACCAAAAACCTCTGAAACCAGTGTGTTTGGCAATAGCGCGGCTTCGGCCTAATGAAAGCACAGCTCTTGCAATGAAAGAAAGCCACCTCTTCCCAACATGATGAGCCAACCCGCAAAAAACATCTGAAACCAGTGTGTTTGGCAATAGCGCGGCTTCGACGTACTGAAAGCACAGCTCTTGCAATGACAGAGGGCCACCTCTTCCCAACATGATGAGCCAACCCACAAAAAACTTCTGAAACCAGTGTGTTTGGCAATAGTGCGGTTTCGACCTACTGAAAGAACAGCCCTTGCACTGATAGAGGGTGCCTTCTATCAAATTACGTCGTCGTTGTAGTAGTTGTAGTTGTAGTTATAGTTGTAGTTATAGTTGTAGTAGTAGTAGTAGTAGTAGTAGCAGTAGTAGTAGTAGCGGTAGTAGTAGTAGTAGTTGTTGTTGTTGTTGTTGTTGTAGTACTTTGTAATACTTTGTAATACTTTGTAGTATTAGTAGTATTAGTAGTTTTAAAAGTATTAGAAGTATGAGTAGTATGAGTAGTATTAGTAGCATTAGTAGTATTAGTTGTAGTAGAAGAGGAAGAAGTAGCAGTAGTAGCAGTAGTAGCAGTAGTAGCAGAAGCAGTAGCAGCAGCAGTAGTGATAGTGGTAGTAGTAGCAGTAGTAGTAGTAGCAGTAGTATTAGCAGTAGTATTAGCAGCAGTAGTAGTAGCAGTAGTAAAAAGTGCCACATTGCAAAAACATATTTGCGAGGTGGATGAGGAAAGATCAGGCAATGTTGATATAGTTGTTGAACTAATTCATTGCTTAATTGATTGCAGTCTGAAGCACGCATATAAAAAAGTCATCGCGGCTGGCTGGGGTTTACTAATTGGGGGGGGCGTCCTTTTATTTGTGGGGGGGACACCGCTCAAGGGGGGTAGCCTTTCTGAGCTCCCAAAAACAGCATTTTTTAATTAAATTTGAATTAGAAATCGATCATTTGGGGGATGCGTTTTTTTTCCAGTTTTGGCGTCTTGAAACTGGCGCATTGCAAAAGTATATTATACTTGCGAGGTGGATGAGGAAAGATCAGGCAATGCTGATATAGTTGTTGAACTAATTCATTGCTTAATTGATTGCAGTCTGAAGCACGCATGTAAAAAATTCATCGCGGCTGGCTGGGGTTTACTAATTGGGGGGGGCGTCCTTTTATTTGTGGGGGGGACACCGCTCAAGGGGGGTAGCCTTTCTGAGCTCCCAAAAACAGCATTTTTTAATTAAATTTTAATTAGAAATCGATCATTTGGGGGATGCGTTTTTTTTTCCGGTTTTGGCGTCTTGAAACTGGCACATTGCAAAAGTATATTATACTTGCGAGGTGGATGAGGAAAGATCAGGCAATGTTGATGTAGTTGTTGAATCAATTCATTGCTTAATTGATTGTAATCTGAAGCACGCATACAAAAAAAAATCATCGCGGCTGGCTGGGGTTTACTAATTGGGGGGGGCGTCCTTTTATTTGTGGGGGGGACACCGCTCAAGGGGGGTAGCCTTTCTGAGCTCCCAAAAACAGCATTTTTTAATTAAATTTTAATTAGAAATCGATCATTTGGGGGATGCGTTTTTTTTTCCAGTTTTGGCGTCTTGAAAGCCACATTGCAAAAATATATTTGCGAGGTGGATGAGGAAAGATCAGGCAATGTTGATGTAGTTGTTGAATCAATTCATTGCTTAATTGATTGCAATCTGAAGCACGCATATAAAAAAATTCATCGCGGCTGGCTGGGGTTTACTAATTAGGGGGGCGTCCTTTTATTTGTGTGGGGGGACACCGCTCAAGGGGGGTAGCCTTTCTGAGCTCCCAAAAACAGCATTTTTTAATTAGATTTTAATTAGAAATCGATCATTTGGGGGATGCGTTTTTTTTTTCCAGTTTTGGCGTCTTGAAATTGCCACATTGCAAAAATATATTTGCGAGGTGGATGAGGAAAGATCAGGCAATGTTGATGTAGTTGTTGAATAATTAATTGCCCAATTGATGGCAACTTCACAAAAAACATCTGAAACCAGTCTGTTTGGCAATAGTGCGGCTTCGACCTACGGAAAGCACAACTCTTGCAATGAAAGAAAGCCACTGGAAAGTAATCAGAGGCAATGTCCAGAAGCAGGCAAACGT